GCTTCTACCCCCATAAAGTGTGTAAGTGTTTGGCATTTTCATTCCAGCTGGACGTATTTGATGCTGCAGAAAGATACAAGCAGGCTGGCCATCCTCTGATTGTGCTGGCTGGAAAAGAATACGGTGCAGGAAGTTCCAGAGACTGGGCAGCTAAAGGACCATTCCTCTTGGTGAGTGAATACAGTAAACTTGGAGGAGGACAGTTTTTAAAAGTGCATTAATTTGTCGGGAAGACTGGCTTATGACCAACATCCTAGGTAGCTCATTCTCACTTTTGGTAGCAAGAGCTGTTGTGAAATCTCAACAGTCTCCAAATGCCACAGTACAGTGAAAAAGCTAGTTAAATATTAATATACTTATTAGACTGGAAGCCTTGTGTAATCTTCAGCTAGAAATCCAAAAAGCTACACCAGAAAGGCCATTTTCTTTCTTCTGCTTGCCATAAGCCAGGAAACCTTGGGTCTGCTTCCAGCTGCCTCCTTCAACTCACTTAGCAGGGAAGATAGAACATGTATAAGTAGTACTAGTAAAAATGAAATCTGGCATGGCTTCATCATGCAGATTGCAGGGATGCTTAGCAGTATTGTTATAGGAGCCTAATAGAAATCCACCTACAGTGAAATACCTGTTTCTTTCTTTGTCTTGTCCCGCCCTTATTTACCAGCCTGAACTCTGATTCAAGCTTGCTTGGCATGGGATTTGTAAAGGAAATACTGTATTATTAAAGATTTGGATGAGTTGATGTTTAAGATTACATTTGTCTGTAAGTTTTTGGGGGTTTTATCCAGTGATAATTTTTTTTGTCTTACCCGTATTAACATATAAAAATTTAGAAATTAATTAAACTGCACTCTGGAGCTTGTAATGTAGGAGGGCAGCCCTGAATTAGGAAGAGTTATGGAAATGACTAGTGGTGTTCTACGTAAGACGTGTCATAGAAGTATGCAGGATTCCTGAGAAAGCATACGGAATTTTTTGACAATCACACTTCTTTCAGAGACGCTTGAATGTTAACATATAATCAAGACAGTCCACTGTCAGACCAACCTACTAACTCTAACAGTAGCTGATAAATGAAATGGAGGGGGACCACAAATGTACCAATTTCCTTCCTATGAGCACAGAAAGGCTACCCTGAACAATGAAGGTAACTACAGCTGTTGTATATTTCCCAGGGTGTCAAGGCCGTGCTTGCTGAAAGCTATGAGAGAATTCATCGGAGCAACCTAGTAGGGATGGGAGTGATTCCTCTGCAGTATTTGCCTGGAGAGGATGCAGGAACTTTAGGACTCAGTGGACGGGAGCGTTACACAATTGTAATTCCCGAAAAACTAAAACCGCAGATGAATGTCCAGGTTAAGGTATGAGACACCTAAGGGCTGTAATTTACCTCAGAATTAACTGTCTCTTCAAACAATGTGCTTTCATATGGCAGTAAGTTTCTCTTGCTTGAGGGAGGGGGAATTAAGAAGGTGAAAAAGATGAAAACAGTTATTCTAAGAGGGATTTGCTATGATGGGATATAAAAGCAGCATACCCAAGCTGTTTTATTTAGCGCAAAACAGTCCTGTATTTTGGAGCAGTCATTCAAGTCCACTATATTTTTTTTCTGTCTGTTAAATGTTTGAAGCAAAACGAAAAGTGAACTGTAAGTATTAAATAAATTAAACTGATCTATTGAAACAAATTCAAAACAATTAATTGATAATTTAACTGACAAAATGTAGTACACATTGTAGCATTCAAAGTGAAGTCTAAAGAATACCCGGCATAAAAGGTAGTTCAGGCCCTGTACTTGAAAGACTACTTTTTGTCTAGCTGACTTAACCTAATAGCATGCTGCTGCGAGTCTGCTCTTTTACTGCAGTTAGCAAAACAATCTACTTATTGCATTATTTAATGCAGGTGATCTCCCTCATTTAGTTTCTAATGGTAATTTTTTACATGTGCCTCATTAACTGTCCTGAAATGGATAAAATACAGATCACAAATTGCTGGTCAGCTTACCAGCTACAGAAGAGTGGCAGATGAATGCGCAATGTGCATTCATCTGGAAGTACCTGACTAGGGACTCTTCAGTAAAACACAGTGGCTTTATTCACTTCATACATTTGTCTCTGTGCTAATCTGAGTCCCAAACGCTAGGCCACAGGGAAGTTAATGAAATTAATATTGCTGTTGTACATAAACTAGAAGAATGACCACTTAGAAGAACAACAGGAATTGGTATGACCACTTGAAAGAATGCTCAGCTTTCATGTCTCTAGGCATATATCAACAATAAATCTAAATAAGCCAGCAAATGCAATGCAAGGAGAGTCCATACCGTGTTAATTATGGTTTGTTCTAAACCACTTTCCTCTTAAGCAGCTGGCTATAGTCTGTAGAAAGAAATACTTGTATCTGTAGTAAAAAAAGTAAACAGTGCCTGTTTAGTTTAGCTTCCTATCACAACTTCTTAAGAAGGCAAAACTATTGTAATAGTCCTTTTACTGTGATGTCATATAACATGTGTAATGTTCTCCTGCTTGAATGACTTTCTTTGATCCCAACAGCTGGATACTGGGAAAACCTTTCGTGCCATCATGAGGTTTGACACTGATGTGGAGCTTACTTACTTCCACAATGGCGGCATTCTGAACTACATGATCCGTAAAATGGCATCCTAATCTAAAATTTTAACCAAAAACGTCCAGGTACAAGCCTGCTTCTGGTGAGCAAAGTAAAATGATGGTAATCATAAATTTGAAAGTGTGAACCATAAAGTGAACAAGTTTTTTGTGGATTGTACTAGAAGGCTTGTTTACAATGCTTAGTTATTCTATGTATCAGGAAACTGGAAATGCTTGCCCAATTAAACAGCATTTATTATTTGTTTTGTATGGTGGTTGGCTTGACTTACATTAGAGTACAGTGCAAAAGTCATTAAAATTCTGTGGAACTGTTGAAAATAATGTGCTGATTTCATATATTTGGTCAATTTAGTATGTCTCTGAATTTAAGTACTATTCTTACATCAATGGTCCAAAAATTAACTGACAGTATAAAAAAGTTGTTACTCCTTTCTGATTACCTGATACTGACTTGCTTTCTCACTCAGTTTACCAGAATCTGAGTCTAATACTGAAATGAATTATTTAGCCTTTTATTAATTTTTAAAAATGTGAACTTTGTTGTTTAAAATCTAAGCCTTTGTGGAAAGGTGAACCTATTGGGGATAATATTTCTAATAGATGAAATTAAATTTATTTTCAAAAACTTTGGTGTTTTTTGTCATGTTATCCTCAGTACCAAGATGCAGAACGAAGCTTTGATTTTAAGCTCTTCTCATTGTCCCTGCTGGAGCAGAGCTGTACAAGTCTTGACTTCTTATGTTTTAATTCTTCTTTCATTAAATAATCTGCATGAGACCAGATGAATACAAATACTGTCAGATACTGGCAGTCTTCTATAACCCAACAGAATACTGTTGTGATGTACTTTCTTCTGTTCTGTGTCCTCAGGCAGACAACCTACCATAATTTCAAGATCCTTTTTCATGGCACTTTGCTACCAGTGGTAACACTGTGTTCATTGAAGTGACTGTCCAATCCACAATATCACATGAATCAAGTTACAGCAATAACAAATATCCTCTTACTCAGAGATAAACAAAGTTATAGTACTAATTCTTCTCTTCAGTATGTAGTATTTAGAGCAACTTTCACAACAATTAACAATGAAGAAATTCTTTCAAAGTAATCTCCTAATGTATTTTTATTGCTGTTAGCTCCAGCTGTATCTTGAAAAAAAACACCAAACACAATGAGGATAGCTCTGAAATAATTCAAGAGTCTTATAAAGGTGCTACGGATTGCACTGTACCTGCAACTGGCTGTTTGTGCTTGATTACAACAAACAGCAAATTAGCAAATTCAGCAGAGGCCCACTGACTTATTGCACAGAGCATCTCTCAGAACAAGGGGAGAGAACTAGGACTGTTTAGCCTGGTGAAGAGAAGGCTCAGGGACAGTTCTGCTGTTTGTGTACAAATATCTGAATGAAGGCCACAAAGAAGATGCAACTATCTTCTTTTCAGTGATGCCTAATGACAGGGCAGGAGGCTCTGGGCACAAACTGAAACGCAGGAGGTTCCCTCTGAACATCAGGAAGTACTTTTTTACTGTGAAGGTAACCAAGCACTGGCTTAAAGAAATTGCCCAGTGAGGTTATGATGTCTTCAACTTTGAAGATGTTCGGAGGCTGTCAGGACATATGATCCTGGACAAACTGCTGTAGCTTACAAGATGGCCTATAGAGGTCCCTCCTATCCTCAGCTTGCCTGAGAGCTGTTAACATGCTCGTCGTCTTGAGCATTATTTGGTAATGCAACTTTGGGTTGATGACAAAAAAAAATCAGATATTCTCAAATTCCAAGTAGAGTGCTGATGTTCTTCCCCAACTTCCCATCTGCACTGTGTACTGGAGGTAGTTTTGTATCAAGTTGAATTCTTATTAATGTGTTACCTCATCAACCTTTATTACACTCATTTAAGCTGAACTGAAGAGTTGTTGTAGTCTGCAGTCCTTGTGGTCAAACAAGAGGAAAAGACTAGGACTCCTCAAATTCCCTAACTTCCCAGTAGTTACTACTATAAGCTGTGAAAATTAAGACTGATTTTCTTTATTTTTTTTAATGTCAAGAGTCCTAAAGTAGATAGGCCTTTCACACAACAAGCTGATACTCAAGGACTGTGATTTTTCCATGTATTTTTAACTTGAATGTGCTAGCCAGCATTTTGCAGAATCTTTGTTCCTGGTGTTTTTAGAGGAAAGGCATTTTCCAACCGTATGTTATCTTTATGCATTGTTCTGTGTTTCCTTTTTGGAAGTAGATATAAGAACAGCGAAGAACTAGGTAAAAACTAAACACAGAGTAGGTTTCTATAAGCCTGAGATTCAGGCTTCCTGTACAGTGCATACACCTTTCACAATAAAAAGCACTGACTCGAAACATGAAACAGTGCTTAAAAAGTTGGTTTACTCTTTAATGCCACGTAACACTTTGAAAGAACACCACAAGTCTCACTAGGGTTTAGGCAGTTAAATACATTTTGGACTCCTACTTAGTTTCCTATTTCAAGGTGGTTTTCTTCAGGATTCATATATTTCAGACACATAATTTACATACATGAAATGTGCAGTGGCAACTGATGAACATGCAGTGATGGAAGGAAACTGCTACCATTTCAATCCAGAAGATGCGTCCTCCAGGAGGGCTTCATGAAGCCCTGCTGCATTTCTCAGTGTTGCAGAAGAATTCTCTATTAAAGGTGGATTTGAAAGATGCAGTATAAGCCTTACAGAAAAGTTATTGGACATTTTCTCTCAATTTTCTATATACCAAGATGCTTAAAGCATTAAAAGTAGCCGGAATATTAGCATGCATAAGCCATGTTGTCTACATGGAGGTTAGATCCAACCAGAAGTCACTGGTAACAAATTCTGATTCACATAGAAGTGCTTGAAGTTGTAGTCTGTCACCTGACATTAGAAGTTTAGTTAGTCATTCAAATTGATTTTGTTTTTCTCAGACTAACCTCTTCATAGCGGCAGGATTAAGATCTAGAGGCTTAGGCACAAGTCTGGCTCTACTTATATTAAACCTTCTAGTGAAACATCTAATTAGATAGCAGTTTTTTCTAGTGACCATACTAGCATTTTTTTTTATTTTAGCCAGATGCTGATATGGGGCAGAGCATATAAGGTGGCATAAAGAACAAAACTTTTTTACTCATACTTCAGCTTAGTGCAGTAGGTTGATAAATGCATTAAAATGCTGAGTTCAGCTGGACAGTTCTTCAGCATCAAAATTCTTCAGAGAAAAATTAATATCTTTCCATTTCTGAAAATCCATTTGTGTCTTGGTTTCAATGTTCTCTACTACAAAGCTTTTGATTTTGATCACTGGTAGATTATCAAATGTCCTGTACTTCACTATGATTCCCCAGTCATGCTGGCAGTTAGTATTTTGGCAATGCATCTTGCTTTTTTTCTCAAAACAATCAAACTGGACTGGTTTATGGTGAGGCTTTGTTATATACCGCTCCTTGAATGCGTCTCCTAGGACAGTGTGATGAGATTCCTGAAACAACACATGCCAGAAGTGATTAGTAGTAGAAACACCATTCCTTATTTTTTTCCTGACATTCCTCTTCCCCTCACAAATACCATTTCCTTGGTAAAGTGGTTCCTGTCATTCAGGAGGCCCACGTTCCAGCCCCCGTGGCTCATTGCTCTTTTTTCTCCATTCATTAAATACCAGGTAATAGAAAGGCCCGGGATTGGGCTTATCAAAACCAGACCTGCTGAATATCATCACCAGCTTATGCATATTTGGATTTAGCTTCTCTAAAAAACATGCCTGCAGTATTTCAGCCTTATGCATAGAACTAACAGAGACATCCAGACAACAGACATCTTGAGAGACTACTGCTTCCCACTCAAAAAACTTCAGCTTTCCATGAAGGGAAGTGCAATTCCTTTGAAGTGGTAAAAAAAGTAACCCTAGCAAGGTAAGGGAGTTACACTTGTTTATAATGCATATAATCAAAGATATAAAAAACAATTTGAAAAAAATGTACAATTTGAGCAAGTCAGAAAATGCTTGTTCATCCTGGAAGAGCAATTTGCATTAAATACATAGGCTGAACTAAGAACTGAATCTGTAGGGTTTATTTAAAATATTGTGAGTGGTTATTTGGAGGTTACTAAGCAAAATCTCTTTTTGAAGAGTTTTTGAACTCTCAGATCTATTTGCATAGGTATAGGTGATCAAACAGAAGTGCTAAATGGAGTAACATTCGGAGTTGTCAGATACGTTATTTGTCATGGGTTTTCACAAGGCTGAGCTATTTGCCTTTGCTCCTTGCCTGTGGACCTTTCCTGTGCACAGCAGTAGTGAACTCCGTCTATGTTACAAAAACAGCTAGTAAAAACAAACAAAACAGAGATTTTCTTGATTAAAAAGGGAAATGCCTGGAGGCAAGCACTCTGCAGTTCCCAGCTGTGGCCTGAAGCTCCTTGTCATCACAGCTGTGCTTTTCAGAGCTGCACAAATAGAAGAAGCTTCAGAAGAACAAATTTCAGAACTAGAAAGGCTTGAAGTGCCCAGAAAAGTCTTTTTTCATGATCACTACTTTCCATGTGTAGACTGTTGACTTCTTGGGCTACAGAGAAATTCTTCAGAAAAAGTACAGTAAAAATGTCCCCATGAGATACACATAGGAGCAATGTCACCTACTAAAAAATGAAAACCAAAGTAACATTGAAGAAATAAAGGCCTCCTCTTTTAAAACCATGGTTTGCCTTTCAAAACTGAAAACTGGCCCATAAGACAAGAAGCTGAACAGTGAGCTAATCTCAGTACTTTATATGGCTAATTTCCAGTCAACAGAAATGGCGGTAGAAGTCTGTCAACTGCAGGAATATTTCCAACCTTACGCTAATTGGGAAGGTAAATATCCAGCAGTTCCACTATTAGGTTATATGTCATCGAAGATCACATGGTTTTCCACAAAATTAATACATTTCTAACAGAAGGAGATTCAGGAAAATTGAAATGATTTGTGTCATATCACGTATTTATACTCTTTGGACATCATCGCCTACCACCATCATAATATGCTATAGAAGTAGTTATGACTGGTCCTGTGGCTTACAAATTTACTCAGATTTTTTTTCTGCTTCAGTTTGCACAAAACAGCCTACTTTCCACACTGATAAACAATGCTGTTAGTTCAATAATGCTGACTTCCCTGGTGTTCAAGGTTGTCAGTTTCCATCCAGAGACATACCTTTATAATTCTGATGTCATCTGTACTGCAGGCAAATACTTTGCATTTTCCACACAGAAGATTTTTCTTTCCTTCCACTACCTTGTATCGCGTTTCTTTCTTCCTGGAATCCCGTAATACCTTTTCCTTCATTTGCAAATCATGTATCTTTAATAAATAAATAAAAATCAAGATCATTATGAATTTAAGAGAAGCCTCAGGGTCAGCCTAAACATGACTGAGGATATGTAACATCTAGGAACCTATTACTTCCTCAAAGCAAACAAAGAAAACATGTCCTGTTCTAGCAACTCATACCAAAAAAATAACATGGTATATTTGTCAAGTATTTAAGACTAGAATTACACCAGTTGAATTGAACAATAAGGAAGAATATTACATCATGGACAGCATTTATGTTGTCCCTTTCTTCCCTCTGCTCTCCTGTAGCCCTTTTGGTCATAACAATATTAAGTGCTTGTGAAGGCATGTGAGACATTCTACTGCATAAGTAGCACTCAGGCTCTGGAAAGCGCAGTTTGGAAAGAAGGCTCCAGAGACCACAGAAATGGCAGCATTCCAGTTTTGTGAGTCATCCCACCTTGTTTTTTCTGTGATGGCAACTATATCATAGTTTTCCAGCTGCACAATAGGTTTTAGCTCCGCCTGTTTCTTGTGCATGCTGTGTGCATTGGTGTAGGTGCACTTCAGCTGGCTTAGTGATCCTGCCACCTTTCGGGGGAGGGGGGACAAACCTTCATTCACAGGTGATCATTCTTAGGAGTTCCTTTGTTTTCTGACCCATCATAACCCTTGTGTCTTTGCTGCCACATGGATCTGCATCCCCTACCTCCACTGCGATGGCAGACCGAAAGACCTCGCTGACCCACCTGTCCCTCAACACTGTTGTGCTGCCTTCAAGCTTATCTCCAGTGACCCCGGTTTTATCACTCTTTCCCTTCAAATCCAGTTTAAAGGTCTTTCAATGAGCCCTGCCAGCTCCTGTACGAAGGTCCTTTTTCCCCTTTGAGACAGTTGTACCCCATCTGTTGCCGACAGGCTGCTGTTGCGTAGACCTAGATGCATGATCAAAAACCATAAATCATGCCATGATACTACTTTCAGACCAGGTATTGATCTGCTGGCTCTTCCTAGTTCTTCCCTCATCACTCCCTGCAACTGGAAGGGTAGAGAAGAACACTAACTATGCTCCTGATACCTAAACCAATCATCTCAAGGCCATTTGAGGCCACAGCTCTTCCGCTCGGGAGAGTTTCCTATAACAGTGACCGAGCTATTTATGGAGGTGACTTTTATGTGGAGTGTAGGTCAACTTATCCTTTGCAACAGCTCCAAGCTAGATGGAGGTGTTGCCAAGTTAACCTTGTACCTATTCTGCCAGACCACCATGGGCTGGTCATGGAAGGGACATGCCTGCTGCACTTGCCTGACCAAAAGTCCATCACTGGCTTAGCCTGAGACACCCCAGCACCACATATGCTTGACACTAATTTCTACCCTCATGAAATTTTCTGATCTGGTAAGTGCACAGCACACAGCAGGGCTAATGCAACGTAATGAATGTATGCTGAGTTAACTAGACCTGTTAATCTGCCAGACACTGCTTGGAGCAAAGACGAACACTACCATAGGCAGTACAAAATAAGTCACCAACAGAAGAGCATGTACAAACCCAAATGTCATTGTGTTAATGTCCCTGGCAGTGGTTTCTTGGAATCTCTCAAAAACCACTGCTCTGAAATCAACAAGCACTTGGCATGACAACAAACAAAAGCACTTGTACTGGCCTGCATCAAAGATAAAGTGCTTCCAAACATGGAGTACTGCATTCAGCTCTGGGTCCCCAAACACAAGAGGGACATGGACCTGTTGGAGCTACTCCGGAAGAGGCCAAAAATATGATCAGAGAGTTGGAGCACCTCTGCTATGGAGACAGGCTGAGAGAGTTGGGCTTGTTCAGCCTGGAGAAGAGAAGGCTCCAGGGAGACCTTAGAGCAGCTCCCAGTGCCTAAAGGGGCTGACAAGAAATCTGGAAAGGGTCTACTGAGAAGGACCTGTAGTGACTGAACAAGGAGGAATGACTTTAAACTGACAGAGGTGAGATTTACATTAAACATTAGGAAAAACTTCTACCCTGTGAGTGTGCAGGTTGCCCACAGAAGCTGTGGTTGTCCCATCCCTGGCACTGTTCAACGCCAGGTTTGGACGGGGCTTAGAGCAACCTGGCTTAGTGGAAGGTGTCTCTGCCCATGGCAGGGGTTTAGACCTGGATGTTCTTTAAGGTTCCTTCCAACCCAAAACCATTTTATGTTTCTATGAATATGGATAGACATACTACCACCATTTGCAGTTTCTCAGCTCCCTGTTCATTATCCCAAGTAGACATAGCAGTATTTTTCCTCCAGTGGACTGAATATATTTTATTTCTAAGAAGTTTATATAAATTATACCTCAACTTCTAAGTTTTTTACATTTACGGTACAGATGACATTCTTCAAACTAGCACTACACACTATCCTTTATTTACTTATTTAGCCTTGGTCTAAAACCAAATACAGTGAACACTTTCCTCAGGTTATCGCTTGGTCTTAGACAGAGCCCTAGTAGATGAAGGCCAATACAGATTATGCCTGTAGATTTGAGTATGAAAATTTCACAGAAGTACAAACCTTTCTTGCAAATGTTCTTTTATCCCAATTCTGTAGCTTTTCAACAGCTTCATTCATCATTTCTTCCTTGTAACGGTTGTGTTTCTCTTTCTCAACCACTTCTGTTTTGTTTGTCACGAGGATGCACTTGCTGTCTTTAGCCCTTCCACGACCTACACAGCAGCACATTTAACCTCTTTAGTTACTCTTAACAAGATGTGCAAAAGCAGCTGTTAAGCCATAAAACAGCATTAAAGACCTTCTGTGTGGCTGCTTTTGTTTTCTATGTTCAGACTGAGATATGGTGCTTCTAAAGAGCATTCTTTCCCCTCACTCTTCTTCAATCACAAACCAGAACGAAGTGTACCCTTCCAGGTATCATCATGGGTATCTCCAGCTGCTGTGGCCTGCCTTGGTTAAGCTCAGGCATGCTTGAAACTTTCGTTATTGTGTAGCACCTCACTGTCTTCTTGTGGAAAAGAAAAAAAAAGCTAGAGCAGAAAACGTCGTCTCGCTTACTAGTGTTCTGTCATGCTAATTGGGGTCTACTAAAAAAAACAATCCAGAATAGTCTATCACAAAAAATGGTGAGGAACTGGAAATACAGTTCTGGCAAGAAAAGAGACAAGAGCACCACTATCTCTTCCACCTACTATGCTGCCTCAAGACATTTCCTCATTTACGAATGTTAACGGAAACCAGTACTTGATGTGGCTCTTCATTCCCCTCTACTGGCCGTCTTCTAAAATCACCAAGATTCAAGACCGAAGTAACTTAGACTTCTTTAGACATCAGGTACCTGTAACTAGCTGGGTTGGTAAAAAGCCAATGGGCAGGACAAGGTCTTCGGAAGCCAAGACAATACATAAAACTCCAATGCAGCAGTCCTTTGCAAGTAGGCAGAACGATTGGCACTATTTCTGACTATAGCTCTTCTAGCCATACTTCTGTTTATATGTATAATTATCCACCTCAAGGATCAGTCCTCAACAGTTAAGTAACCTTGAGCAGCATGAGTAATTTGCATGGCAAAAGAAAAGTAACACAACATGAAGGACTCAGTTCTGTGAACAAATTTGTTGTGTCTGGTTCCATAATTCATCTGACTTCACTCAGGGGCACAGAGGAACAACAGCAAGACATGCACAAATTACTATTGTATTTCCAAAGTTTCCAAAATAGGTTTGTAAGGTAATAGTTCTGAAATTCCATACCTCTGACTTGGATCATTTTGGTGACATTACCAAAGTATTCATAGAGCACAACAAGGTTACACTCGGAAATATCAATGCCTTCATCAGCAACAGAAGTAGCAATTAGCAGTCTGGTTTCTTTGTTGGTTCTGAATGCATCCAGCACACCCTTCTGCATTGGGAGGGTCATACCTACAATACCAAGAAACTGTGTCAGGAAAAAGACACTGAAGAGTTCCTTGAGCAAAACACCTACATTTGCTCTTGACTGATTAGAAATAAGCACATCATCTTGATCTGGAAAAGTACTTAGCTGGCTGCATACTCTACCCACATTCCTGCTAATGTGCCACAGGAACTGTCATCCTGGGAAACACCATTTCAGACAAAACACCTACCTGATCTTTCTAAGAGACCCATGCAGCTTAGTTATTTTAAGCCCAAGCTAACTCTCGATTCAAGCCATTCATTATTTATTCCATTCTACATTAAAATATCTTTGTGCCACTGAACACAAAATAAGAGAGGTATCTGTGAAAGGAACACGAAAAATACTACCAGAAGTAATCACAAGAAGCCATGATAGTGAACAGTTTCTAAACTTCTTTTGAACTAGCAGAAGAAACCTGCAGCAAAGGGTCACTGCTACTTTAACCAAAGATTCTGGTCAGAAAAAGCAAGCATCTCCTTAGGACTGATAACAGGTCTTACAGCTATATAAGAAAGCATAGTGCAAACTTGCATTAACTTTCTCTGTTTAAGAGCAGAGAAGATGAACACAGGAAGAGTAGAACAATTTTAGCACTGTGGCCACCACAGGTCTAGTATTCCACAGTTCAAACCTACATACCTGTTTTTTGATCTCTTCTTCCATGACCCATCAATATACCTGGCTTTATGTGGCTAAATAGAGGGTTTGCATCTATCCACTTCTTCAAAGCCTGGAAAACAAATCAGGAATTTAGATCCCTGTCCAGATGAAATGCTAGTTTGAGATACACAGTTAGATCCTGCCCATGCTTGCCTAGACAATTAATGCTTCCAAGAACCACAAGCAGAAAAGGTGGGTGTTGCTCGGCAGTGGGAAGACCTATTGATAGGTAAGAAAGCAAAAGTCACAGCCACGATGCCAGATTGAACTCTGCCACAGCTGATTCCCACTTTTCCCATCCCTGCAACTCAGAGGCTGGCTAGAGAGCAATCAGCCTTTCACTGCTAAAAAGTATGCCTTTTGCTCTTATAAACCAGCAGACCACTGATACTAACACCTCTGGAATCCAAAAGCAATGAGGTATTCACAAACTGCACTTTCTCACTGCACAGTGAAAGCAGCACCTTCAAACTGCTCTTACTTAAGAACAAGATTCAGCCAAGCTACAGGAGACTTTTGCATTTATAACGGAAAGTAGCCAACAGATGCTTGGTTTTTGTAGTTTGGACCTTAGTCTGCCTTTATTTTTTTTTCTGGTTTGCAATTCATCCAGCATGTCTATACACCCAAGGATAAAATGAGGGTTGGAAGTCTCAGCTGCTAAATTTGTTTACAGTAGTCAGAGACTAGGATACCTAGCAGTAAATGTTTAAGAGCTATCAAAGCTAATGATTAGCAGCACACTTGCTTCACTTTTTCTGGGAATAAGGTATTGGAAGGGTGTAAAAAAACATCATCCAACCTAGATCCTTGATCCTTGAGAAGTATGAAATAGACCAGTGAATCAGAGGGTTCACAGAACATCTGTCTTTCCTTTTTCTTGATCAAGAACACATGCTAGGGCACAGGCCTCATTTGGGCCCATAGGAATCCTCTGGGAAACCTATAAATACCTCCTGATGTGCAGTCAGTAACAGAGCAGAGCTGCTGATTAATAACTCTGCTACATTAAAGCTTAAAACCTTGTAATGCACCCTGTTAAAACTGACTTCAGAACTACAGTAAAAATGCGACAGCTTAATGATCAACTGTGACATGTAGCAAGGAGAACTAACGAAATACACCAACCCTGTACTGTAGTTTTTAGAAAAGGGAAGAAAAAACCCCAAACCAAACAAAAAACAAACCCTCATCCTGTCTCAGAGCATCAATGCTCAGGAAGATATAGAAAGATAAATATTTTCTTGGGAAGACCATAATAGGAAGGATAGTAGATGAGGCATTGTATTTTCTCACTTCGAACTTTAGGAGCTTTAAAACTAAGTGTCTTACAGCTACTAAGGCTCTTGTCTTAGCAAAGAGAATAGTGCGAGTCTGTGGGTTATAGTGGTATGCTTCATCCAGGATACAAGCAAGCTCTTCCAGTTTGGGATTCTCATTTGATTCATCTTTTGAAAGGGCAGACAGTTTTGGTTCTTTCTCTGGAAAAAAACAAGAAAAACAAGAAAAAAAAAAACACACAAAACAAAACACAAAACAAAAGCAGTGTCTTTAAGAATTTACGTTCTTTCATGCAGAAAACAGAATTCTTACTCAAACCTGTAATGCCACTTACATTCTCTTTAACATCTATTTTTATTTTCTATACCATTATTTCAGATGCAAGCAAAGAAAGCTATTGGTTAAATGCAGCAAAATGCCCAGGAAAAGAGAGTTCTAAATCTCTCACATCTTGCAGCAAACTGACAGGAGAATCTCTGTGACATACTGTGCAGCAAAAGACAGCAACAAAACAAACTCAGTTCTTACAGAGAGCTGCTATTTCTTTGTAGGAAACAACTGACACCACAAGACAGACAGCGCAGTGATTTAAAATTGTAGTCAACACTGCAACCCATCAGACCACAGGCTGGTTTATGCCACATTGCTTCTAAATTAGAAATTGGAGAACAGTGCAACCTCTAACTTGTAATCAGAAGTGTACAAAGACCACCAGCGTCTTCCCAGAAGGTTAGGATTCATCCAGGAGCATTGGGCAGGAAGAGGTTAGAATGCACTGAACTGTGCATAATGCCTTATCTAACGCTGCCACAATGTTTGTAGACTATGCCAGTATGCATGTAGACTTCTGAGGCATACCCTTAAGGACACCACTGCCTTATCCCCAAGTCAGGCATGTAAGAACCTACTATACTGTCTACCTACAATTACTGTTACTTCCTTAGCTCCTGCACTAGGAGCTTGCAGTCCCAGAAAGTCCTCATCCTTCTGTCTCCCCTAACACTGCATTTGCACCCACACAGACACTAGATCTTCTTAAAAGTGAGAAGTTTCTGGAAAAACAGTGACACTTAATCTGAAGAAAACACTTCTAACACAAGCTCTCTTCTCCCTTGCAACTGTCACAGGTATTATTAGGCTGCAAGATGTCAGGGTAGCTGAGAGGAAGCAGGAATGCTTACTCCCAGCCCAAACTGTGCATGGGCCTCAAGCTTCCCCTCTAGCTCATGAAGGAAAGAAGGAGGTCGTTATCCCAGGAAGCTGGGAATTAGTGACAAAACCAACAAAAAAAGGAAGAAAAGGACAATCAAAAACAAGGGGCTTCCTCCTAAATCTCTTGTTCCCATGCAGAACCGCTTTGCTGTCCTGCAGGGGGCTAATGAGGAAGCGCACTCTAGCCAGAAACAACCGGCTGATGCACTGCTAAAGATCTCTACTGGTGCTGCCAGGAAAAAGCGTCAGGTTGTAGTAGTAGGGGACTCTACTTTGAAAGGGACAGAAGCACTCGTCTGCCGGCCAAACCCCGTCTCAAGGGAGGTGTGTTGCCTACCAGGGGCTTGGATCAGGGATGTGGCAGAGAGGCTGCCTGCTCCAGTAAGTCCCTCTGACTATTACCCGCTTCTGGTGATACATGTGGGTGCTAGGGATATAGATAGCAGTAGCCTGGGGAACATAAAGAAGGACTACAGAGCCCTGGGGGAGGTGGTTAGGGGCTCTGGAGCTCAGGTGGTCTTTTCATCAATTCTCCAGGATACAGGGGAGGACCTAAAAAAAGCTAGGAGGATTAGCCAGGTTAATAACTGGTTAAAAGGGTGGTGTCATAGTCAGGGGTTTGGGTGTCTTGAACACAGGACCCAGGTTTGTAGGCCAGGTCTAGTGGGGGCTGGTGGAGCTGGTCTGAAGAGCAGTTTTAGTAGGAGGCTTGCCAGACTGGTCAAGGAGGCTTTAAACTAGATGTGTTGAGGGAGGGGGGCATCATTCCATCCCAACACACCCAGTCAGTTGCCAGAACCTATAAGAAATGCTCAGAGCAATGTAGGGATATCCCAGCCGCTCCAGCCAATGAGCCAGCTTCAGTTGGAGCTCGGCTCAGATGCCTCAATACAAATGCCCGTAGCATGGGGAACAAACAAGAGGAATTAGAGATGTGTGCACGTCTATGGGGGTATGATATAATAGGCATCACAGAAACATGGTGGGATGGCTCCTATGAATAGAGTGTTGGAATGGAAGGTTACAGGCTCTTTAGGAAGGACAGGCCCTGCAGACACAGAGGGGGAGTTGCTCTTTATGTTAGGGATAGGCTGGAGAGTATGGAACTCTGTCTGGGGACAGGTGATCAGTTAACAGAGAGTTTGTGGATCAGGGTTAAAGGGAATATAGCTATGGGAGACATTATTGTGGGGATCTGTTACAGACCGCCTGATCAAGGAGAACCTGGGGATGAAGCACTCCATAGACAGATAGGAAAAGCCTCACGCTCACAGGCCCTTGGGTGACTTCAACCACCCTGACATCTGTTGGAGGGACGGTACGGCCCGGCACAAGCAATCCAGGAGGTTCCTCGATTGTGTGGAAGACAAATTCCTTCTGCAAGTAACAGGGGAGCCGACAAGGAGAGGTGCCATGCTTGACCTCGTGCTCACCAACAGGGAAGGGCTCATTGGAAATGTGACGCTCCAGGGCAGCCTTGGATGCAGTGAACATGAGGTGGTCCAATTGGAGATCCTCAGGACAGTGAGAAGAGCGTGCAGCAAGCTCACTGCCCTGGACTTCAAAAGAGCAGACTTTGGCCTCTTCAGGAACCTGCTTAGTAAGGTTCCATGGGGTATAGCCCTAGAGGGCAGGGGGGCCCAAGACTGCCAATTGATGTTCAAGGATCACCTGCTACAAGCTCAGGAGTGTTGCATCCCAACTAGAAGGAAGTGCAGCAGGAGGGACAGGAGAACTCCTTGGATGGATAAGGAGCTGCTGAGGAAAATTCGAGGAAAAAAAGAGGCTTATAAAAGGTGGAAGCAAGGACAGGCGGCTTGGGAATAATACAGTGATGTTGTCCGGGAAGCTAGCGACCAGGTTAAGAAAACCAAGGCCCAGTTAGAATTAAACTTGGCTAGGGATGTTAAGGATAACAGGAAGGGATTCTACAGGTACATAGCAAATAAAAAACAGACTAGGGACAACATAGGCCACCTCAGGAAGCTCTAGGGAGAACTGGCTACACAGGATTTGGAGAAGGCTGAGGTTCTGAATGACTTCTTTGCCTCGGTCTTCACTGGCAAAGGCTCTGACCACACCACCCAAGTCTTGGAAGGCAGATGCAGGGACTGTGAGAATGAAGACCTTGGGCCCACTGTAGGAGAAGATCTGGTTCGAGACCATCTTAAAAACCTGAACTTGCACAAGTCCATGGGACCTGATGAAATCCATCCATGGGTCCTGAAAGAGCTGGCAAATGAAGTTGCTCAGCCACTGGCCATCATATTTGAAAAATCATGGTTGTCAGGTGAAGTTCCCAGTGACTGGAAAAAGGGAAATATAACCCCCATTTTCAAGAAGGGGAAAATGGATGACCCAGGGAACTACGGACCAGTCAAGTCTCACCTCTGCGCCTGGCAAAATCTTGGAGCAGATTCTCCTGGAAGGCATGCTAAGGCACACGAAAAACATCAAGGTGCTTGGTAACAGCCAGCATGGCTTCACTAAGGGGAAATCCTGCCTGACCAATCTGGTGGCCTTCTATGATGGGGCTACAGAACTGATGGACAGGGGTAGAGCAGTTGATGTCATCTACCTGGACTTGTGCAAAGCATTTGACACTGTCCCACACGACATCCTTGTCTCTAAATTGGAGAGACATCAATTTGGTCCGTCCCAACCCTAACCATTCTGTGATTCTATGATTCTATGATTATGTGAAATACCTTGAAATCTGGCTGTAAGCTGCTTCTCTAACTCTGTATATGGTCCATTTCTGACATTTCTGAAAAAATCAGTTAGGTAGACTAAAGCATCTTCAATGCGGGTATCTTCACTGATGATGAGAGCATCATTGAATTTCTGCACAGAAAGACAGACATGTACACTTGAGACTCATTTTCTGTGTGACAGGGCATGAATGCAAATTTTATTCAGCTAGATTAAGTATGACAAACTTGTGTTGTTCTTCCATCTGCATGACAACACAAGCTTTACAAAATCTCCTCTGCACTATACTGTTCTTAGTGAATATCTTAAGATAAACTCTTATAAGCTATGCTTTAGCCTGTGTCAATCAAATAAAATTATTAGGTTCAAACCTGCTCCTTGCTCCTAGATGAACACACTAGTATCAGAAGGAAGTGGATAGATTCACTTACACGCAGGTGTTCAGTGAAAATGAAAAGGTCTCTACAAATGTTGCTCTCCTTCTCCTTATCTGCCAGTTGCAGTAGTCTGCATTTCTTCTGAGTGGTAACTATCCACTGTTCATATCTCTGTGTTCCAAAATCATTCTTGTTGATCTGGGAGATAGCATCTGCTAAAGAAGGAGGAAATAAACATTTATTCATCTTGACTAACAAATAACCAGAACAGTTAGCTTGAAGACAACACATTTTCCATTAATGTTATGTCTAAAAAGTGTATGTAGAAGAACACTGTATGATACAGTCACAGAACCATTGAGGCATCTGTGCAGGTCTTTAGTCCAACCCTCTGCTCAAAGCAGCATCACCTGGATCCAGTTGCTTAGGCTTGTGTCCAAATGGATTCTCAGTACTTCCAAGGATGGAAATTCCACTACTCTGGGCAACCTGCTCCAGTGTTTGACCATCCTTATACCAAAGGAGTTCTTTCTGTTATTCAAGTATCCAGTTTGTGCCCACTGACTCTTGTCCAGCCTCTGGGAAGCATCTGAGAAGAGTCTGGCTCTGTCTTCTTCACTAGCTGTGTTTCGAAATATACCCAGATGTTCGGATAAAATCAGCCAGTACAATTCAATGGGGGATCCGTGTACATACACATATCTGCAGTCTTTAATAGTAAAATTAGAGCTCACTTATCCTATAAGAAGCCTACAGTACTCAAGAAACTGCATGTGCATTGCTTCTTGAATTACCATCTACTCAATTGTTAGGTATTCGTTTGCAAAATGGTCCATAGTACTTAAGGCATATATAAGCACTTAAGGGCCCTTCCTTGAGGCAGAACAAGTCAGTACCCTGAGTGCTTCACAAACTTCTGAGTAATCAGAGTCCACAGAAGGGAAAGCAATGGCATTCATGCAAGAGCTTCAAAAGCTTTTGCTTAGTTTAGCACGCATTTTGAAAATCTCACTGTATCTGTTGAAAGCTGGGGTTTCTTGGGATTTGGGTTGGTTTATTTTTGGTTGTGTGGGATGTTTGGTTTAGTTGTTGTTGTTTTGGTGGGTTGTTTTTAATTCTCCCTTCTTTGACTGAAGGGAGAATTCTGAAGATTTGGAATTCTGGAATTCTCCATTGTATTCTGGAGAGTGAACCCAAAATGCAGTCCAGTCTCAAGAAAGCGGAGCAGGAGAAAAATTAGAAAGTATAGAACTGAAGTATACAGGCTTAAGACACCCTGGGCAGTTTGCAGAAGCTGGTCTAAGCACAGACAAAATCCTTTAACTCAGAGTGGGACAGACCAAGGCTGATACTGAGCATAGCCATCCATGTGTCTCTGTTCTGTACTCTCTGTAGCTCTCTAATTTGTTGACAACGGCCACTTACTGAACACCGGTTATGAACTGCAAAAGCAGAAAAATCAATTGAATTCTGAAGGGCTGCAGAACTAGGTCTCATGACCATGAGACTCATTCTCTTTCCACAGCCATGCATCTCCCTCTCTGCAAACCACACTACTGCAGCTCCTAAGGCTGGAACCCTACTGACAAGTATTTACTTTCTTAGGCAGCCATACCCTCTCTCTGGTGGTGTTCATGTTCCACATATCTTCCTCTGTAAAACTGCCGTAAATATTTTTCAATAGGAAATAGTGGACGCCTGGGAAACAGGGGTAGCCAGAGATATAAAGAGGAAAAAATCCTGACCAGAAAGGTGGTACCTAGCATCCTTAGCAATAACTCTGAGTGCAGAGAGGCCAGAGAAAATATAAGTTACGAAGCAGCAAGTGAAAGTAAACTTTTGCTGAAAGGAAGAAATTACAACATTCAGAGTAACACCATAACTGAGACCCTTCTTGTTTTCCTTAACAATGACAGATTGAGGTATGAAGAATTTGGAGAAATGCTTAAATAAGAGCAGGTATCTCTCATCAATGAAATCTATCTCATTGCATTTTGAAAGCAAGACCTTTGGTCCTTTTGTTCCAGATTGTTTAAACATTCAACATGATTTGACAGTGTTAAAAGCACACCATCTTTAGCTGCACAAAACACAGGTTGAAATCCAAGCAAAAATACTTATGATTATCAAAATAATTATATAAAACAGGAAAATTGCTGACTCTTCTACGTGTAATCTCTTATTTAGGAAATACTGGTTAAAAGCAAATAAAAAGGAAGAATGAGAAAGAAAGCAGAAAAAGAATAATTGTTCTAGGAGTCATGAGGATTCACGGATGCAAAGACTGAATCCCAGTTACAGGAAAGTTATTACAGTATCTTACCTACTGAGTAATTCTTTCTCATCAACTCCTCTGTCTCAGACATCAGGCCTGAGATAATCTCTGCAAAGTGATTTTTAGCTCTCATTTTCACCCATCTGACATCTAGAGACAAGAAATGGAAGTCAGTGGCTTGATTAAGTAAAGTATTTCACTGGGCAGCACAGAACAAATTCTTGTCTAAAAGAATGCTTCATGTGCTGCTGTATGCAATCATAATGATGTTTTCTTTTAATGGGCATTACAGTTGCACAGAAAGAAACAGCCCCCAGTCTTCATTAGCAGAACTGAATAAAAAACAGAGATTGTGGATCTCAGCAAAGAAAAACTTTACCCAAAAGGGCACTGCCTTACTGTGGGGCAACAATGAAGTGCTTGCTTAAACTCCTTTCAAGCTAGCAGGAAGCAAAGATCCCACTTAGTTTTAAGGTTTTAACTTGACCTGACCAAAGGGGAGTTGGATAGCTGCCTTAATTATGTGCTTTGCATCTCTCATGAAAAAAAAAAAGGAAGTGTGCTTACGTATTTCTGGCCTGTTTCCAAATCTCTGCAGATCCTGTTTGTTCTCTCTGACAGTAGATATGGCCTGTACATCAAGGTTGGCGCAGACAGTACAGACATACTCTATTGTTTCCTTGATGGTCTTGGCATTACCAACTCCAACAGAAGCAGTTAAACCTACAATCTGAGCACACACATGAATAGCAGTGGTTGCTCCCTTGTCATAAATAAATAACCAGGAGACACTGTCACCAATTGTCAAGAGGCTACCATCTTCAAAAACAAGGAATCAGGAAGCTGAAGTAAACATGAGTGCAAACACTAAACCTTGAGAGACAAACCTTTTCCCTCTCCCAGGCACCCAAGCTTAAAGTATCCAAACTGAAAATAAATTATCCACCCACTTAAATCCATAACCAGCTGTATTTGTCAGTGCCCATCATGCACAGAAACAGCAAATCTGTCCCCAGAACTGTCCTCTGCATTCATTCAGAAGAGATGTCTCCTCAGCTGGACCAAAACTTCCTGCCAGCTGAGGCAGTGGTCCCATTTTATTGTTGCAGAAGACAGCAACAGAGAGGCGACAAGGAGATTACTAACTTCTGGGGCACATGCTTACTTCCAAGACCAGCAATCCTGTTTGATTTCAAGTACTCCAGTCTCTGTCATGCTTGGCTGGACCTTACCTGAGGTAGTTGACTTGCAGGGGAGTCAAATTTTTGTTCCAGGTATCTGGTCATTAACACATTGTAAGGGTGGTTGCCCATAGTGTTGTGGCACTCATCAAATATCATCAGAGTGAAGATGGAGAGGGAGCTAAGGATCCCTTCCTCAATGCTATTCACAAGAATCTGGGGTGTTAGCACAATGATGTCGCTGTCCTGTATAACCTTTTCTACAGAGACATTTGCAACTGTTTCACCACTAATTCCTTGAACAGAATATCTAGGAAGAAGAGGCAAAAGATATGGTATGAAAATGAATGTCTTGCAGGGGAAAAAATTAACTAGAAGAATGGAATTTTCAGCAAGCCTGAAGGGTAGTGACTAAGTTCCAAATACCCAATTGTTGGGGCTGCCAGTTTTACCCACACACTCTGAGAAAAAAAATCTGAGGTCAAACAACTGGATTTTCAACTCCCATTGTCTAATATATTTGATTTGGGGGGTGATGAATTTGTACATTTAAGCTGTATCTGTCAGTTCACATGTAAGCTGTATTTGGAGATCCTGTCCTTTATCCCTTTTCTGTGCATGTCTGGCAGCGCAGGGCTGTTTTCTGTCCAGCAGCTTCATTTTCCCATTGCTATAAAGATTCATATGTGGATGTTCAGCAATCAAAATCAGAAGCTATACACTGTCAATAGCTCCCTAAGCAGTTTTCAGTTCCATTGGAGAGTAAGATTGTCATTTTATGACTAGAGCTTGAAAAAAAAATCAAAGAAGCTTGGGTCCTTCCATTTGGAAAATAAAAAGAGACTGTCATGTGAGAATGGCAAGAGGAATCCCACTGCTGCTGCCTGAACTGCCTCATCTTTGAAAGCAGGTTGAGAAGAGTTTCAAGAGAGAACACACCTCACTCTTTTACAGAGGTAAACACAGGTATACCTCAGCCATTTCTACAGATGCTGCTCAAGGAGTGCTTAAACTCCCCAAAACCAGATTTCAGACTCTCTGAACAAAGTCCATCATGGTAACTTGCCATTCTTACCATTAGGTATCATCCTTCTGTTAAAGCCAAACACTTTTGCCACCAGTAAAACCATTACCTTTTGCCCTAGCCGCAGCTGACCTAGGGGGTAGTTTATTTTCTATGGAAGAAGAATTACACTTACCCACTTCTTTCAAAGTGCTGCTTGAAAACATTTTTCTGTTGTTCATACACTGGCAGTTTGATTGCAAGAAAGACAACTTTTGGCTTTCGTCCTGAGGGCATGTTTTGGAAATGGTGTTCACAAATCATCAGTGCCACAAAAGTTTTCCCAGATCCTTTAAAGGAAGAACATGAAAGGTAAAGCACTAACATGAAAACATGTGTTTGTGAGCAGGAGCCTGTCTCATCTGGATGTCCTGTAGCAATGGCAAGCTGACAAGGGGTCTGTCAAACTTTCAGACTCTCTGAGGACAGACTGGAATATGTGCATGCTGCTTACCCAGTTCGGTAATCATCCCTTTCTCTCTCACAATCTCAGTCTGTAAAGACCATGTAGCAGTCACTGGGAGTGAAAGTCCATTTGCAGTTTTGAGTTCTTTGAAATTCTATTTCTGCTCTTAGCATCTGCTCCCATATCAAATCGGACTAAGGTCCAGGCACAAAGCACTTTCAGCTTCCATCCCTCCCCATGCACCCTTGCTCCTCTCACTTTTCCTTTAGCACTCAGGCTCACTGGGCAGGTCTCCCAGAGCTCTTCATCGGCCCTTCCTCTGCTATTTCTCCTGCTTCTCCAGGACCCAGGGGAGAATCAGGCTAACAACATGGAAAACAGGTGGAGAGAAAGAGCTGATTGATCTCTCTGCTGCTGAACTTCAGTCGTCTTAATTCTGTCCTGAGCTACTGCAAAGGTTCCCTATGCTGCTCTAATGTTGTTGACATTGCAGTACAGAAGACATGGGATTTTCAGGGCAATGCATCCTGGGTTTATTTAATCTTGCAAGACAAATTTCTTACAGACCTGCAAAGATTTTAACTCAAAAATTTGCGCCATGGAGCGAGAAAGCAGAAGTCACCACATGGAAATCTGAATACAAGCACTAAACTGCCAAGAGACGCGTCTGTCTTTGCACTGCCCTTGGTCATTAATTCTAGCTTAGATCTGGATCTGCTTCTGCAAGGAAGACTGCTTTTAAATGAACAGCTGGAAAAATCTTACTCAATATTTAGCCTTCCCTATCCTTCACAGCCCTCTCCAGCAAAAGAATTTTTTTAAGAAACATGTGTTTCCTTACCTGTGGGGGCACATATCAATGTGTTATACCCATTTATAGCAGGCTGTGCAAGTTCAGTCTGGTAGCTCCGAGCCTTCATTGGTTCATAAACAGGTGAAGACTGACAGACCTCTTCTAGAAGAGAATCATGGTTTTGTGAAGTGTTTCAACATGAATGTGTAAAATACAGTTGCTATCTGAAATGATAGAGTCCCTGCAGTCTACACAGACAATTCACTGATAGAGAAGCCGTTTAACAGGACATACACACCAGACAAGAATCTTGTGTAGGTTTGGTGGCATACTTTTGTTACCACTCAGCTGTGCTTCCTAATATGAACTAATTTCAAGGTCTTGGCTGACAGCTCTCACCTCAACTGATCCTTTTTCAACTCGGAAAGAAAACACAAGGGCTTCTTTTCTCCCACATACGTGCACAGTGTTCCTTCCAGCTTTCTGCTCTACAGATTTTTGAAGCTGTGCTCTTCTCAGGGGATTTGCACTTACAGAAAAGAACTACAAATCACTGATGGAGCAAGATTTGCCATATGAGACAACCACTGCACAGATCCCTTGCAGCCACATTCAGCTCTCTAAAATGGCTAACATCAGGTCATGTGTGAATTAATTATATCAGATAAGAGATGCATCAACAACCATCTAGTGTTCAGAGACATTTTGGGTAATGTGCTGGCAGAACAACTTTGCACCAGAGATGTTGCAAATGTCGGGCAACCCTTAACATATGCAATGCCTAGCATGAGATCCTTTAAATATTAAACCAGAAGACAGGTAAATCAAATCACAGATTTGTACTAGTTCCTCAGTACCTTACTTTCTGGCACACCACATGTAGTGTCTAAGGAAATGGAGAATTCCAGCCACACACTGTCCTAAGTCTTACCTGAACCTGAACAGAGATTTTCACTGAGATTATTATCACATTCTGCCTCTTCAGAAAATGTCACTGTGGTTTCAAATCTGTTCTTAAAGGCATCTGTCATTTCACCATCAACGTCTTTGCCATTATCTGTACAATCACCAAAAAAAGCATGTTATTGATCCTTCTGATTTTAAAATGTATTTGCTGTGATGACAAGGTGAAGAAGTTAGTTTGAACCCTAACTGTTCCCTGATTCTATGAAAAAAAAAAAGAATAAAAAAGAATATTACTGTCTGGCACAAAAATAGGAAAACAGCATCACAAAAACAATCACAGTTTACCTTCTCTCATATCCCACAGTTCACTTGCATTGTAATATCCTGTGTTATCCAGTGCCAGCTGAAGGCTTTTTGGCCAGTTTTCCTTATCTGATCGACAGAGACATTCAATGAGTTTAGTTATCCCAGCTGCTTTGCTTCTGTATTCGCTAATCTGCACACACAACAAACAAAAGTTGCTGTAGCTTCAAGAGATCAAAACCACAGTGTTTTGACTGACATTTTTGAATTTTTTGATGTTCAGCTGAAAACTGCATTTCCTTACACAGAATAGAAGTTTCAAATAAAATTCAGTCATTTACTTACTACTACCGCCGTTCTGTACCCTAAACTTAGCTGGACTGCAACAACAGGTGGACCATTTGCTTAAATATTCACAGGGTCTGAAACACTGCAGAGCTGTTCTGTGAATTTCTATCTATCTGGTGAGGCCCTTGTAACAAGTTTCCAAATGTTATGTATCTCCATAAACTACTGCTTTAAAAATAAAATAGCTGAAAAAAGTCCTTCTTGGGAGTCACATGGTGTAAGAACACTTAACAGACTCCTCCACACATCATCAATAACTTATTATTAAGGAGTTGTAAATGATGAGTGACTGGTAGTATCACTTGTTAGCAGTCATCAATAACAACACTGAGCTATAGCCAAGTAACAGGAACTTCACACCTAAAGGCAATGAAAATGTTGTCGATTTCTGCGACACAGCATTTCACTAATGAGTTCAGACTAGAAGTTTCATTTCACCCTAGAACTGTGCCTTTGGGTGCTGACTGTTGGCATGAGGCCAGAGGCCTTGAGATACATTGTGAAGGGAGTAATGTGTCACAAGACCCTGGTAAGGCCAGAGGGTCTTACCAGGAGGCCAGATGCGGAGGGAGTGATGGAACATGTCATGGTTCTGCTCTGCCCTTGCACAAGACCCACAGCCCTTGAGCAGCCTGACCAAAGGTAATACTCTCATTATCCCTCACTTACACATAAAAAATATACCAAAGAGAGATCGTGGCTGCTTCCAACTATGTCAGATGATGCCTGGGTGAAACTGAGCTCAATGAACTACCAATTGGTTATTTTTTCTATAGGAGCTCAATTAATCATTGGCTAGCTTTGGATTACAGTGCTAATGAAGTAAGTGAATTTATCAATGGCAATTCAGAATCCGTATTAATGTTGCTTCAATAAACTGCACTATTTGTGGATCTGTAACTATGAAAGTTCTTACTGAACACAACAGGAGTTTGAGTATTGAATTAGTGATACTCAGAATTAATCCCAGATATCCCCAGCCTCTCCGATTTCTGAGCACTGGCTGGAATGCAGTGGGGGCATTTTCTGCCAGATTTCTGTACTCATAATATAATAGTGCCAAACTCAAGAGCCACATGAAGTTTCTAGGGGCTATAGAAAGTAAGAGGTAATAGACTATGCCAAACCCCATAATAAGCAGGAGTCACTTCAGGAAGCATCTAAATGCTTCTTTGCCTACTTCCATCTCTATTTTCAGGAGCATTAATGCAGGATTGCTCCAGAAAGTGGTCTATTCCAAGCATAACAAGGCAGTCATTTCACTGTAGTGTGGTACCTTCCAGAACCACTGAGGTCTCTTCATGGGATGCTGGACTCCACAGAGACACAGAGTTGAACACTGTAAACACCAAAGCCACCCTATCCTGCTTCCCTGCCTGCAATCCTTTCACACACTACCCTATCCAGCAAGCTGGAGGGGTAAGGAATGAAACATGCAGGTATCGCAGGCAGTGCTGCTGTGGGGAGCTGCAGCTGCATAGCAAAGTCTCTTCTAAGCAGAAGAAAGTAAAGTCAAGTCCGTTTTCAGGGGACTGTTGCTGGCCATCCTCCTTACTCTGCAGCCTGGCAGATCAGCACCAATTCACCCCACAAGTGAGGCAGCCAGCACTTTTCCACAGCAAAACGAGGCAAATACAGGATTTTATCATTAACTGTACCTGCAGGATCTCATCACACTCCCTTTCTATCAGGCACGTGTTTATGTAAGGCATGAGTGCTACTGGATCAACTTCTAGCATAGTTGCTTCTATCCGCTTCAACATCTGTCTGTGCAACTCCAGTTTTTCCAGCTTGCTGAAGTCCCAGTTTTCAATTGCTTCTGCCAGCCCAGTGTAACCTTTCAGAAGAAGAGGCAGATTGTTACTATGAACTCAATCTCTAGCTATAATAGGTGGGAAGAAGCTGAAAATGAACTTCCTCAGCCACGTTGGAGAAATTAAAATTATCTTGGTCTGTAACTGCCAAAAATCTTGGTGAACCACAAATAATTTCTATAGATGAAGTGACTCTTTTCCTTTACAGCACTTGTATAACAGAATAAGGTTTAGAAGATGTATGATTTGCTGTGTAGGCTCCAGGGGTGGAATAAAGCAGGTCAGGATCCCAGAGGAATTGTGGGCAAACAGAAGGAATTTGCCTAACTTTTTTTTTCTTCCGTAGGAGCAGGAGAGTGGTGAGGATATTTACCACCACAATGTCTTTAATTATCACCTATCTCTGTATCTGCCAAATATAACACTAATGCTAAATTAGTAAGTACTTTGGACAGTGCTTGGAGTCAGGAGGTTAACTTTTTCAGTTTTCTGCTGAAGATACACCAAACTGAACTCTAACAACATGTTCTGAGAAGGTATTTTTGCGGTTCAGAAATCAGGACTATCACAGGATGGTCAGAAGCTGTTCTGGACCTAGTATTTATGCTTTAAGGGGAGAGTGGGCTACATCCAAATGATAAGAATTTTTGTAATAAATGCTCACAGAGATACTGTAACTATCTGTAGCTAATAGTAAATGAAAACAAAACTGGCTTATGACATGAGATTTTGGGGTTCAAGGTATCTAACAAATCGCCAACAAGAATCTATAGTAGAACATGTACAGGAAAGCAGACAAATCCTGGTGGTTTTACACCTTCACAATCTCTACTGTCACATTTTCAAAAGCAAATCATATTTGGACCTGACACACTAAGCAGTCATAGCTACTGAGGAACAACCATCTCATTTAGAAACTATTAATGGTTACTTACTTCTTGAAACATAAGATTTTTTCAGACCTATAAATACTTATTTTAAATCAGTTCCTAATTTAAGATTCTGTCCTTGAGTGAAGTTATCCCATGCTATCAGTTAACTCACACGCATCCTGAAACCCGGATTAGTTTTCTCTTTCAGAGGATTTAGCCTCATTCAATTGTCCGTGGCGGAGACAATGGCTGTCTTCATTTTTCTCTAAAGGCTCTGAGACAGACAAATCTCCTGGCAATGAGGCTTTATCCTGCATCACTTCCTCTCTCACTGACTTTCTCCGCTACTGAAATTGATCCAGCTGCTTCTCACGCGGGTGTTTCCCCCTCCCTTCGAAGAGTTTTATTTCCAGTCTCTGACAACCTACATTTTTCCACCCCGTATCATCTGATGGACAAGACTCGGCAGCAGAAGCCCGAGGATAACGGGTAGCGGTTGCACAGGGCTGCCCGGCTGAGCGGCGGCTGTGCCTCTGGCAGGTAAAAGGAGAAGCGCAGGAAACCCTCGCTTGCGAGGGGGAACCGACCTGCTGCAACCAGGGCATCCAGGAAGCCCCGGAGCCAGCCCTCCGCCTCCAGCAGCAGGATGGTATCCAAGAACAGTGCGGCGGCCGCCGTCACACCCTTCTCCTCCTCCTTACGGACCCGCTCCTTCTCCTCTGAAAAAAAAACACAAAGCGAAGCTGTTAAAGAAGTGAGGAGGGACCAGGAGCGGCGGCCCGAGCAGGAAGGATGCGGAGAGAAGCAGGTGCTGCCGGCCCCTCACCGTCCGACAGCCAGGCCGTCATGTTGCCCAGGATGTACACGGGGTTCAGGCTCTTCTCGATGTACCGCCTGTAGCATTGCAGGTTCCTTTTCTCCTCCGCCGTCATGGCAGGGCCGGCTTCGCACTGGCACCAGCACCGGCTGCGTGAGGGGTGGCGGGGTCTCGGAGACCGCTCCTGCCCTGCACGGGAGAGCCGGAGCGCAGCGAGAGGAAGTCCCCGGGAGCACGGAGAGGGAGAGAAATAGAAACCTGGGACCAGAGAGGAAATGGAAACCGAAAGCAGCGGGGTGGGGCGGACCGGCGGCGGGGACGGATGGGCCGGCGGCTGGCACAGCGCTGCGCTAAGCTGGAGCCTGCCCTTAGCGAAAGAATAGGGGAAAAGGGGGGGAACAAAAGCTAGCATTGACGCGTGTACCCGTTTGGAAAGCCTGTGACCAGCAGTTTGCTGCTGCCAGAGAGAGGGAGAGCCCAGCGAGGTAATAGGAATAAAGGCATCTCTCTACCCTCTCTTCCCCTTTGCCCCAGAAAACGCTGTACTGTTTGGTTGAGGGTTTTGTCTGTATCCTGGCTTTTAGAGGACTGAAAAATAATTTTCTACAGCAAGGCAAGACCCCTACGTGCTCTGAGCAAGCGCCTGCTAAGCTTATAGTTTGGGAACATCAAAATGAGAAGGTCTGACTGCTCTGCAGCTGGGAAGTGAATATCAAAGGACAAGGCTCACAAAGCGGACCAGCAGGCTGCAGAGCTGAAAGCACCCGCAGTTCAGAAGTGCTGCTAAACGTGACAACTCCATATGCAAACATCCCTTGAACTATTAGTGTGTAGAGTGGACGTATGCAGCTTTGTGCAGCTTCCTAATCTCATGTGCAAGTAGAGGACCAACAGATACTGGCCCAGCACAAGATACCTACTTTCTAAAGCGATGGCAGCACAAGATCACTGAGTGACAGGCTTGCACTAAGGAAGGATGGAGGGGAGTGGAGGGAGGCAGAAGGAAGTGCTACTACTGGCATCGTATTTTCTACTCTGTTCTAGTTCACCTTTACTCTCAAGTATATGCTTTCCTTTCTTTTTACTATTCCACACAGTTTTAAAGGGACTATGGGAAATATCATAGGGGTATTGTACCACCATGATGTAGTACTATTAGCCATTGTCCTCTCAAAGAGCCCTAGTATAGGAAAGATTTGCATTAGTATTAACACTGTGCATGGAAGTGGACCAGGGAAATTTCACACTCAGCTGAAGGTTATCCACCCCTAGCTGGGAAAATGTCAAAAAACAGAGAGGTCAGCTTCTACAGCCAGAAGAAGACAGGTGAATAAGCCCTAAATATCATCACCAGTCACGTCTCCATTCTTTGTGCATCCTTCTATGCTGTGAACAAAGCAGCAGCTCCTGAATCTCGTTGTGCCTGGGCTCAGCTTCTACAGAAAGGCACTTCAGCCCTAAATTACAGAATTAACAGCTGGTGAGTTTAGTATTAAAATGAGCAAACAGGTGGGTTAAACTTTTGCTCTTGATCATGCCTTGTCCCCTCACAGAGGAGTCTGGATTCCCTAGAACTGAGAACTAAAGCCTCCTTCTCCAAAATCCCCACAATTATGCTCTTCCCCTCAAGCACCAGTATTTCAGGCAGAGACCCAGGCCACCCTGCTCCTTAGCTCTGTGCATACTCTAGAGCACCACATCCACACCTCATATACTCAATTAAAGAACTGGTCTGGTAATGAGTCTGGAAGTCTGACATTGTACCTTCCAGCTCCTTGTTTGGCATGGAAAGGAAGAACACTGACTGTTTCTATTCACCTCTATAAAATACATGAAGTTGGTTAATTTGCAGCCTAACGATATGACAAACAAACAGCTTGATTTGATTTCCCAGGGATCACTTTTGGTTTTGTTTCTCCAGTCTGCTTCACTGAGAAGATTGCTAAGGGCTTAATTTGTGTGTAACAGTGTGCCAGCCTTCAGGCTAGTCACCCCACTCACCCTGCAGAGTGCTGCTGTCAGATGGGCAGCCAGTAACAGACACAGCAGAGAGCATTTCCTGCACAGCAGCTGACCTCACAAGTGCCTGTTACAGCTTTCATTCTACCGGTGACAAGTGATTTTAGCACTCCAGCTCCTTCTGGCACAGAGGGAGTGTGTTCAGGGACTCAAAAATCAGTGTTGCAGCTGGGTAGGAAACCTCCTGCTGTGCAGAAACCCAGTCCTGCGCTTTGAGAGCAAGAGGGAAATAAGCTCCTTGCCTGTCACTTCTCCAGCCCAGCAGATTGACACACTGCTGCTAAGCAATGATGGCATAGGAAAATCACCCAGGAGGTGGGATGGCACCTACTGAGCAGGGTGTGGGGACCGGTCCCACCAGGCTGGAGATGCTCCTGATGTGAACTGGCATCTCTCCCAGGGTTGTGCCTGTAGGGCAGCAGTTCAGAGAGACGGGCTGTGGCCTGTTGAACCTCTCATGCTTACGTCCATGGTAGCTGTTTCATGCTGCTCTTGCACTGGGTGTCTGGGTGCTGCAGTGCAAGTGGTGGTTTCAGATGGCTGGGAGGGTGATTCATCGTGTTGCATATGAACAAGCCACGGTGCTGGGGATGCCTTAACCTCCTCATGCTGCTGCAAGTCATGGTGTTGAATAGTTCATTGGAGATAATCCAAAGCCAGGATGAGGGGGAAAATGTTAGTTTTTCTCTCTGAAACTCTTGTGGAATTTGGAAGGATCCCCAGGTGAGCCTTCAAATCCTGCCTTAGAGTGCAGTCCAGCAGATGATGCAGGGAATGCTGCTGCTGTGGTCTGTGAGTCATGTTTTTCTGCCACTTTCAGCTTCAGTGGTCCTCAGCTTCAGATTTTGCAGGTCCAGCTTTTTGCAGGTCCAACTTTTTCCCCAGGATCACCACTTGTGAGTGCCAAGGAATTGTCTACATGGCAGAGAGTGAAGCATCAGAGGTGGTCTTGAGACCAACAGAGCCTAAAGGTAAACTGATGGGAGGACTAGGAAAGAAAATATCAGGCATGGGAAACAGGTGAAAAAGTGTTTGCCAACCCCAACCTGCCCCTGGAGTAGTAAAGCAGTAATGAAAGAAACTGCCAGAGAGAAGATGTGGAAGGAGCCTATCAGGAAGTCCAAGGCTGACAAAAGAGAGCAGATGCTGGAAGATGGGAAGCGCTGATTTACTGGTGTCCCTGAGAATGGGCGTTAAGAGTCAGCAGATAAGGGTGCTGAGGCAGCAGGATGGGGACAAACGAGGAAAATGTGAACAGGGCAGGTTGTTTATTTCAGAGGGGGAAAGGTGGGAGAAAGGGAATTACCAGGCCAATGTCATTTACTGGTTAGACTGAGCATGTAAGGCCAGTTATCGTAGGGACCTACAGAGTGTGTGTGTATACACAATGATCTTTACCCTAGCCACAGACACCCATGTATACACATGTTTAACTGCATTTCTGAATCCTGGTGGTTCCTAAAATGTCAGAAAATTAGGTAAAAACATCTACTGAATCATCTTAGAAGTTTTTCACCAGAAGATCACCCCTCACCCCTAAAGCATACTCAAGCCTTTCACTGCAAATAAATTGCTCCATACTTAAGTAAAAAAGAAATATTTTTTGAATGCAGTTTAATGAGTGCTGTTAAATATACTATTTTTCATAAACCATTAATGCTTTCCTTTTGCTTGACTGAATCCTCTAAGCACTTGCAAAATTCCCAACCCCTGTTGGAGACACTAACTAGCCAACTGTTGAAAGAAACAAACAAAGTAAGTGCTGGTGTTTGTGGAAGCTTTTTAAATACTCATGCATATACACTCACAATTTTTCCTCTCCTTGGAATGCAGCTTGGAAGTACAGTGACTGCTGAATGCTTAACAGCCCTGAGGAGGACATAGCTTTCTGTCTCTAGTCTTGTAACAACTAATGAGCACTACTTTGGCCACACAAATGCTTCCACAAAAGAGAATGACTTAGCATGCCCAAAGTAAAGTATTGACAGGACACATGTCAAAGCACCCTGCCTAAGAGGCGTTTCCACTAGTTACAGGGGTCTCACCCAAGAACATCAGTTCAATGGTATATTTCGGAGAAAAAGGAAAAGGCAGGAGACACAAGTCCATTGTGTCAGCCTTGTTTGCTGATAACTATGCTCCTTGACACATGGTTTTGTAGGTAACACAACCAGTTGCAGTAGGGATCTTCATAACTTAATCATGGAAGAAAAATTTCTAGTACCCACGTAGAAGAAACACCTTCCATTCTGCAGGTAGAACAATCCTTATAAACCAACACACCTAACTGGGGTGAACTGGAGATAGCGCTCACTTCCTGTAGTTCCTTCCAAGGTTTGATTAGCATCTAGTACACAACATGAAGCCTATGAAGAGAAATGCTTCAAAATATTGTATTGGGTAATGTTATTTAATAGGCAAGAGAAAAGCCCAGAACAGACCTCAGTGTATGACTCCTAACCAAACCAAATATCATGGCTGATCTTCAGAAACTCTGGTTAATATCTGCTACACATCTCTTAGGTCTCAAATACAGGATATTCTCGCTCAGAACTCCAGGCACCCCTCCCCAGGACTTGTCTGAAGCAGCCAGTTTTGTAGTTCACCTCTTCCTAAGCAGCCAGTTTTGTAGTTAACCTCTTCCTAACACCTTTTTTTACCCTCCAGATACCTTGGTAAAGTTCCATTGATTTATCAGAAGTGAGGACATGCCCAATGATATTTTAGTACATTGCCTTTTCTCATTGGAATTGAGGTCAGAATCAGCTCTGAAATGACAGTAGTTAGGAATTTTATTGTTTGTTGGGTTTTTTTTTTGCCAATGAGATCTCAGACAGAAAAAAACCTGATGAAACTCACTAATACATCTTTATTATGGCCAATACAAACTTTAATAGAGGATGGAAGTAAGAATTAAGCATTGAATCAGAAAGATATATTTGTAATGTTTTCTCTTTGTAGATAAAATATGACAAGTTGGTGGTTACAGACAAGGAAACTTGCAACACAGGACACAGTTCAGTCAGTTCAGTACTAGCAGGGGTTAAGTAAGTTCTGCAAGTCTCCCACACTGCTTAAAATGGGGGGAGAAATAAATCTTGATTTATTAATTTCTAAATCAGATGATTTCGAATAATGAAGGACATGGTTCTGTCCAGAAATGGTATATACAAAGGAATACAAAGGAATTGATGTATTCTCTGAGGAGAAAGTATTTAAAG